TTTAGTAGAGATGGGGTTTCACCATGTTGGCCAGGCTGGTCTCGAACTCTTGACCTCAAGTGATCTGCCCGCCTCGGCCTCTCAAAATGCTGGGATTACAGGTGTGAGCCACCACACCTGGCCTAAATTGGGATTTTTAAAACCCTGCACTATTAACATTTTTGGCGGGATAATTCTTTGTTGTGTGTCATCTGCCCTGTGCAATGTAGGATGTTTAGTAGTTATCTCTGGGCTCTACTCACTAGATAGCAGTAGCACCTCTCTCCTCTCCCCAAGTTAAGACAACCAAAAATGTCTCCAGAATTGCCAAACATCTGGGGGCCCAAAACCATCCCTGATTGTAAACCACTGTCCTAAATCAATTCCTATAGAAAACTCCACTCAAATGAGACAGCCTAAATCATGACTTTTTTGTGTGAACAGTCCCAGGCTTTCCTCAGATGCGTAAGATGAAAAAAGGAGATACAAATGTGCCTTTTCTTCATTCTGAGTTTTAGGAAAAATTGGAGGCAGGCCTAACCTAATTTCCCAAATCATATGTAGGAAACTCCAGGTAGTACTGAACACCTATTTCAAGGGACTTGGGATAACGAAATAGAAATATGGAGCAACTAGTTACCTCTTAAATTTATCCTGTGGCTAAAATACAGGGTTGTAAAACAATCAAATGTGTTAATTGCCCAAATCTCAACAAGTGTTTTTGAAACACTTCTAGGTGAAGATTTCAAGTTATCTAGGGAAAACTGGAGTTGGACTAGAAAATCATAGCATAGTTTGAAGATCACTTCTTGAAGCATTGTTGAGAGATTGGCCCCATCAGAAAACTTAAAATCATCTATTAAATTATTAAAAACAGAAACTATGGCTGAGCCATGCTATGAAGAAAGTATTCTCTGCAGGGAATTTCTTCTATAGCATCCCCCTTCCCTATGCTAGCAAATTGCCATACACCTTCTTGAGGAATTCTCTTAAATTGTGGTACCCAAAGATGCATGGGGCCTTGTGCCAAATAATGTGAGAAGCCATGAGATAAGGAACATCTTCGTGGGACAGCAACTTTACTAGGTGGTAAGTAAAAGTTTTATTGATAATACAAGCCAAAGTGTTATAAAGTATACATTTTACATATTTTAAACATAAAATCAGATTTTTGAGGCAGGGTATTTTATGGAAACATTCCTGCAGGAGTAAGTCAGAAGAGCTTGAGAAACAAGGTACTCATTTTGAGGGAGCTTTGTTATTTATTGCCTAGCTTTGCTTGCTACAAGATCCTTTCTTAACCTGGGTGGATCGCTTGAGCCCAGGAGTTTGACACCAGCTTGGGCAATATATAGTGAGACCTCATCTCTACAAAAAAAATTTAAAACTTAGCTGGGGGGCATGCCTGTAGTCCCAGCTACTTTGGAGGGTGAGGCTGCCATACACCTGAGCAGAGATTGTGCCACTGCACTCCAGCCTGGGCCACAGAGTTGTGAGACCCTGTCTCAAAAGAGAAAGAAACTTAAATATCCATCAGTACAAATTAACTGTTTTTGATTGGGAGTAGACTTTGTTATTTCCAGATAGCAGAGGAGACTTAATCCATTTTTTAAATCAGCTTTCTTCTACCTGAACACACCTTGCATTTCATCCATTCTCATAAAAGTCATTGCTGGACCTGGTTCCTGTCAGCTTGATGCACTCCAAGGATTCCAACGATAAGGAATGTGGTGTGACTGGTTTCTGGGTACTTTGGAATGAATGGGAACATTCCATTATCTGGACATTTGATTCTATTAATGTGGAGGGATTCTTTCAGTTATTTTACCAGCTTCATCATAACTAGATTTGTGATCAAGTCACGCCCTCTTTATCATCAGCTCTCTTTGATCCAAATCGTTAGGCATCTGCCCCTTTTCAACTAAATATAAGAATAAATTTCATATTCAGCCTAGTTTTTCTCATGAGATCACATTCTACATATGTAGCCTTTCGGTGTTTTGAGTCTTATATAAATAAGAATTCTGACTAAGCCTTTAGAAACATTCGAATACGTAGGCCAGGCACGGTGGCTCACACCTGTAATCCAGCACTTTGGAGGCCAAGGCAGGCAGATCAAAGGTCAGGAGATTGAGACCATCTTGCGCCTAACACGATGAAACACCATCTCTACTAAAAATACAAAAAATTAGCCGGCGTCGGTGGCGGGAGGTGAGGCAGAGAGAATGGTGTGAACCCAGGAGGCGAGGTTGCAGTGAGCCAAGATCGCACCACTGCACTCCAGCCTGGGTGACAGGTGTGAGACTCCGTCTCAAAAAAAAAAAAAAAAAAAAAAAACTCGAATACTGAATACTCTGTCCTGTGCAGGTACTGGTGCGTATGGCACAAGGATACTTGAAAAATAACCAGGGGAATAGAAAAAAGACAAGCTTTGGACAAATGTTAGGGAAAAAAATGAGGATATTACAATGATATACGATAATAGAGGAATTGTCTACATGGAAGCTTTTTCTTAATGAGAAAGGTGATAAACTAGGCTAATGGTTGAGCCTAAAACCTGCCAAGAGCAAAATTTCACGTGGGGACCGCGGCCAATTTCCACTGGATTGTGTAAAAAGAGCAGCGAGTTTACGTGGGGCCAGTTGAACTGGAAAGCTTTCCAGCAGTGTGAAGAGTGGTACAAAGCCGTGGCAGAAGCAACGCATGGAGCGCATTTGATGGAAGTGAAAGAGAGCAAGTATAGCCTATATGAGAAGATATGTCATAATGGGAAGAAGGCATTAATTGGGAATGGGAAAAGGGCCTAAAAGAGACAGGGATGGGGGGCCAGAGGCCCACAGGTCTAGTAAGTCATGAAGGATTTTGTCATTCTTATGATGGAAAATCATCAAGCAAGAGGGATAACAGATTAATAAAGATCACTAGTTGGTAAGGCTAAGGACAGGAAATGTCCTTTGGATTTAGTGATGTAGAGGTTGCTGGTCCCATTAAGTGAGTGAAGCACAGAGACGAGATAGTGAATAGGTCCATGAAATGCATGGAATCAAGAAATACTTGGCTGCTGAGGAGGAGCTGGTGAGGCCAAGTTTGGGGAGAGAGAAGTATTGGGGATGATTTCTAGGTTTCCAGGTTGTAGTAACTGATGAGTGGAAGTAACATGAGATAGAAAAGAGAATCAGACATTGGGGTGCAAAGTGATGAGCTCAGTTTGGGTTTTGTTGAGACGTCCAAGTGACCGTCAAGTAGGGCAGTTGGAAATAGTGGTCTGGAGTCCAGAGAATAGGACCAGGCTAGAGATTGAGTTCTCTGCTGGTTTTGCTGGTCATTAAAGCAGAGGGTAAGGATGAGACTGTGAATACTCTGTCCTGTGCCAGGTACTGTGCTATGGCACAGGATACTTGTCCTAAATCAATTCCTATAGAAAACTCCACTC